TAAAAGAAAGTCAAGACATATGAGCAAAAATGTGAACTAATGGTTATGTCTCTTTCCCTCCATTCTCTTTGATAGCTCCTCACATCTTTCATTTTTTAAGACTTCCCTATTCTATATTTTCTCCAGGAACATTTGGGAATTCAGTCCTGGGCACATGCACTTACTAAGATAGGTTTTTATTGAAAGAAGAAAACTTTAATAGAGTTCAGGATTAACCTTCTCTAAACATAGCCCTAACCATAAATGGCATAAAGAGTCCAGTAAAATGGTAAGTTTTCTCCTTTTCTATTTAACACAACATCTCAAAAATGGTAGACACCAGCTCGTGTTTTAGCAGCATTTCCTCATTACTATTTGCCTTCTTTCTATTCCTTCTCACCCTTCCCTGCCTCAGCAACCTGGATAGTATTCTGGGACATAAGACATGAAAATCTTTGCAAACCCCAATGAAAACATGATACTTGCATCCACAGGGACTCTATGTGCACTCCTCCCCAGCTGCCCCATCTCCTTTTCCTTCTTTTCCCACTTGCTAATTGTGGTCTTTCATATTGAGTCTTCTAGATCCATTTGAGGCCATAATGGTACATTATTGGTTGGAGAGAGAAAAAGAAGAAAAAAAGTTGAGGTTGCAAGAGTTCTACTTCTATTTTCTTTCTCCTTTCATAAAAGAGGTAGATGTTACGGATGTGTGAAAAGTCAGCATCTGATTCCCTGTTAAGGGGAGAGGGAGAAGTCTAAAGCAAATACTTTTTATAAATCAATTTCACACCATGAATTGCAGAATTTATATGTAAGGTAGAACCTCACAGAATCCCCATTTAAATCGTCTTGCCCACATATACACAGTAAGTGTCAGAATTAGAACTAGAACCCCAAAAAGCTTGGATCCACAATTAATGGCCTTTCTACCATACAATGATGCTTTTCATTTTCTTCAAACTGGAGGCAATTCTCTTGTCCTCAATCCACAGAAAAACTCTATTAAGAGTGCGAGTGAAGCTCCAGGCCATCCTATAATCAGCAACTGATCTACTAAGTCAGCCTAATCTTTTGCCAAACCACTTCTCTGAAACTGAGGAAAGAGCACAAACTAATTTAAGGAAAAGGTAGATAAAATGCAAGCTTTTTCTTGGTAGAAGGTCAGTGTCATGGGTGGGAAAACATTTGGACTTAGAATAAAAGGTCTGGGTTTGAATCCTGATTGGGCCAAGTAATGTGAGTACTTGGGTATTACTGCTTAGTAATATTAAGCTTAGGGTATTACTGGAATTCTCTGATGTAGGATGAAGATTTGAGGATTATATGACCTGACTTACCTTCTGCACAGGCTGTTGTGAGAATCCAAATATGCATGTATTAAACTTGAGCATAGTTCAACTATTTGGCATTTGATTCAATAACCACTTAGAATAATGGCAAGCATGAGGTAAATGCTCTAACAAATGTTAGAATTTTATTAAATATTTCAATATGGTTCTCAACTCCCATCCTCAAACCATCCCTTTACTCTCTGCTGCTATTTTTTCTCTTCTCTTACTATTCTGTAGCTCCTTTCTCTATGAAGCTTTTATAAAAAAAGGAATAAGATTTTAGATCTAATGAGATCTTCTCTGATTTAGGTCCCAGATAATGCAGTTTTCAACTCAAGTAATATATTGGCTTATGGTGTCTGGTGACAGTTACTTGAAAGAGTATTCATTGAGGAAGTTAGGTTTCAAAAAGCCTCCAGAACACACACACACACACACACACACACACACATACATACATACATACATACCAAAAACCCTACTAGGAATAAGAAAAGACCTCTGATTTGCAGATAATTACATCACTCATTAAGAATTATTTCTGGGAGTCAACTATTTCTAGTTATATGGCAATGGTATTTAAAATTAGTGCACTTTGCCAACATTAAAATGATTTATTTTATGACTAAGTACTTATAATTTCGAGTCAAATTTTTCTAAAATCTTGAGGTAAAAGTTAGCTTGATTATTCTTTTCCATTTACACATATTTAAATATATTATCAAAGCCAAATTCAAGTAGTAATTTATAAGCAAGACTGATGAAACTACACAAATATATTTTTTCTGTATTTAATCCATCCCATATTCACCCATCAGTTTTCTACCTTCTACTAACATCTCACACATTCATACACATGTGAAGAGAGAGACAGCACAGTAGGCAGCCTAAGGTGATGGTTCTGCAGTGATGACAAAAGTGAATTTTAAGTCTAACTCCTGTGGCCAGAACTTTAGCTTTGTGTGGTCTGTTGTAAAAGTAATTTCTCAGATATGTGATACGATGGACCAAGCGTTACCATAAAAACTTATCTCTAATTTAACAAATATTTCAAAGCCCCATGAAAAGCATCATTTTCCAATCTATTTTTATGCAAAGTTGAGAAAAGGCCACCACTTATGACTGTGTCATTAAGTTCCCATATATATGTGTCATCGGAATAGCCTTGACAATCACCAGTTTTTAAGACATAAAGTGCCCTCTAGAAAAAAAGTACAGCACTGTTCCACTAATTGCAGACAATATGACATGCTTACACGGCAGCACACCAGGATTCCAAAACACTCACCCATCTGGCACTGCACAAAAGGCCAAGACATTAACAGAGGAGGCTGATTGATAAAGTTAATGCAGAGGTCTGGGATTATAGAGGGCTGTTGTATAACAGCGTCACATACTGCGATAGTTTGTGAATCCTTGCAATAAAAGAACAATACTTGTAAGCTAGTGCAAAGCAGTCACAGGAACGGCAGCGGGAAGGATGCTTTAGACATGAGCAGTTGGACGGTATTCTTCATTTTCATTTGTCCATATAAGCCCATACAATCTTACTGTGCTATCCTTAGGCAGTCAGCAGATTTGGAATTCTGTCCTAAAACTCACCCTCTCCCACTTAAAATCTCTCTCCCCACCAGCATGAAACGGCCAACAAAGAGGTGTGATGGCCACTACTTGCGCTGTGCCTTCCCCTTCCTATTGGGACCCTGTCAGGCAGCAGCTCATGTTTTCCACTGGCTGCTAGAGGCCTCCATCCACCTGCTGTCTGCAGTGAGCAGCAAAAGGAATAGGCAACCTGTAAATCCTGACCAGCGTAAAAGGTGTCCAGGACAGGTGGCAGGGACTGCAACCAGTGAGGACAGACGGACTGACAACCAGACAGACAAACAGCAGCACCATCAGACATGATCCATTACTTCAGGTCTCAGAAGAGGGGAAGCCTGCAGCACCAGGGATGTGATTGTTGCACTAAGGGCAGGCAGCAGATTAATGAGGGTTCTGCCTCCCTCAAGCCGGCAGGCTTAAAGTATTTGTTTTTTGGATGAGAAGGAGCAGGGAATCCGGAAACCTGCTGCTCTGTATAGAATGAGGCCAGCTTTGGCCTTCCGAGTTAATGGACCCTTTCTGAGTCTACAATGAAAGGGCAGGAATGACTGGATTTCTACTCTTTTGCTGTGACCCAGGACCCACTGCGCTTGCTCAATATCCCCCTCTCCCATCTGGGTGGCGGTTACATTGGTGGGGACCCATGCATCTGTGAATGCAGCAGCCTCCCTCTCTTCCTCTCCTTCCAGGCACTACTGCACTGAGAGGAAGCAGAAGAAACCTTCAGTGGCAGCATCTTCTCTTTAGGAGGCAATCCTCCAGGGTGGGGGTGAGGCCCTGATGGGTGTGTTCTGTGCCTGGGTGTCACCCCTGTTTCCTCCCTGCCCCTTCTGTGCTCTCAGCTAACTCCAGATGCAACAGGTTCCCTTTGGCTCTTCATGCCAATCCTCTGCCCCCAGATACACCTTCTGGTCTAAACAGGAGACACCAAGGAATTAGTGCCAATCAAGGTCTCCAAATTCCTTTACCCTCAAGTTGAAAACTTTCCTGAATACGAGAAGACCTCCTAAAGGAGGGCAGGGTCAAAGTCCCATTCAGCTCCACTCTGTGGGTGATGCTAAGGAGCAAGGAAAACCCAGGTCTGGATGCCAGTACCTTGTAAGCAGTTTTGTCTGAGAATATGACAAGCAGCAGCACAGGCAGTGACACACACCCCTGCACCACCAGCCATGAGCCCAATCCCCTTCCCAGACGAAGGAAAATGGGGCACTAGACAGAGAGCTCTTGAAAGGTCGATGGGCTTTAAAGAAGAGGGGATGTGTACAAATAGGTGATCCCCTATTGTACTGCTTCCACCAGGAACGGAGCAGGCCCCGGAGGTCTCTTGGAAACCAGTAAAGAGGAACCTCTATTTTATTCAGGCCAGAGTCCCCATCAGCTTCTCTCATTATTAAGAACTTTGCATTGCCGATGGCATTGTATACGGGTGAGAGAATGTGTCTTCACACAGGTATTCTGTGTAGAAGACTATGGCTAAAAGATTAAAGAGACGCTGGGTAGGTAGGTTACCAAAGATGGCAACTGCCCAAAAAGGACCCAACCTTGATCTGGAGATGAATGAGTACCAAAATGAACACTAAAATAAGCATTTTTCTTAGATACATACTGGCACCCTTCACTGGGGTAACCCCAACCTCCTCAACAACTCCAAGAAGAGCAGAGGAGCTGTTCTCAGCACCTCTTCATCCCATCTCCCCCTTTCTTCCACTCAGTCCCTGCCCACAAACCTGCTTCCAGCCCGGGGGCCCTTCCACCTGGGTGGCATCAGCTCTTCTCAGCTTCTGCATACCCCACCCTCAGGGTGGTCCCTATCCACCCAGTCCTCCTCTGCAGCCCAGCCTCAAGCCATCCTCTCGCGGCTCCTGGGCTCTCCGCCCGGTGGCATCCCCTCCTTCCTCCATGCCCGTATCCCTTCCCCGCTCAAGCCCCGCGCCCCTGGCCCCAAGGCAGGCGCCTCCGCCCCCCACCCAAGTCCCTCGGCCGCCCCTCCCCCACACTCAGCCGCCAGGATTGGGTGAGCGAGTGGTGAATGGACCGGTGGAGGCAGGCGCGGAGGCACGGATGGCGCGGCTGGGGGCGGCTTACTTGAGCATGGCTTCTTCTTTTTCCTCCTCTTCCTTCTGCCGGTCCATCACTGCCATGATAATGTTCCTCTCTTCCTCGGTCAGGTGGCTCAGGTCGGGCAGCTCTTGCATGGGGGGAGGCACCGTGGGTGGGCGAGGACCGCGGGGCCCCACGGCCGAGGACATCTTCGTGGCCTGCCCGGCCCCTCGCCGGCTCGCCGGCTCGCTGGCTCTCACCTCTCGGGTTCACGCCCAGCAGCTGCGCCCCTGCTTCCCCTCACAGAGGAGCCCTCCCGGCGGCGGCAGCAGGAGGAGGAGCGGCGGCGGCGGCGGCGGCGGCGGCAGCAGCAGAGCCGGGGAGAGAGAGAACCCAGGCTTTCATGGTCGTTTGCGTCCACCCAGCCCCGGATGCTGCCTTTGTTTTGGTCGCCGGAGCGAGGCGCGGGGCCGCCCGGCCGCCTCCCGCAGCCCAGCCTCGGCCGGCGGGGGCGGGCAGGCGGGCGGAGCGCGGCGGGCGCGGCGGGCGCGGCGAGGGGGCGAGGGCTCGCGCGGGGCTCGGCGGATCCGGGCGTCGCGCGCTGGGCGCGCGGGGCGGGGGCGGGGCCGGAGCTGGGGCTGGGGCTGGGGCTGGGGCCGGGGCTGGGGCCGGGGCTGGGGCCGGGGCCCGGGCTGGGGCCGGAGCCGGGGCCGGGGCCGGGGCCGGGGCCGCCGCCGCCGCCGCCGCGGTCGCCGCCGAGGCTGCTCGCAGGCTCCGCTGCCTCCAGTTTGGGGCTGCGGGAGGGAGAGGGAGAGTTTTGGGTGTCAGTTAGGCGGAGTCTCGGAGGCTTCGCTCCCGGGTGATGCTGCTGCTCTCGCAGACATAGCTGCCAGCCACTCAGTCCCGGAGCCGCTCCGCCCACGGGCACCCACCCGCCCACTCCCCGGTCCGAGCCACGCGTGCCCCAGCCTCTCCCCCCACGCTCGCCAACGTGCACGCCACATCGCTCTATCCCCAGGTACCTCTCAGCCGTGAGTCATCCTGCCTCTCCTGGTCTCTGTGTCATCCTCCCCAGCCCTATTTTTCCTTGGATTGCATTAATCATCATCATCCTCGCTACCATCTTCATCGTGGAACGTTAATATTATTTGAGCACCCACGATGTTCTGAACAGCAGGATGGAACACTCTCTGGACGCATTTTTTTTCCTGCTACGATATATTTCACATTTACTAGTCAAATGTTCATGGCAACAATGTGATTTTTTTTTAAATAATTTTGATATACACACACCCCTCTGACGGCTTGGATTTTCTGGGTCCATTGTATGCAGTGTCTTTCGTGACCCATCCTCAGTAGGACCGTTCTGTAATTTATCCTAATTCCCCCTTAAGATGCCCCACAGCCCAGCAACTATTTAATTTGTCATTTGGGGCTCTGGGTAACCCCATCGCATCACATAACCGCACTTCTCTGGTGCTTGCAAATGGATTATCTACTTGAATTCCTCTAATAATGCTCACTATCATCATGTACTCACTTCTTAGCCACTGTAGGTACTTCTCAAGAAACACTGATACCAGATAAGAAAAACGCCCAACCATATCCCATTGTAAGAAGCTTTTGCTTCGATGCCTGGCCCCAATGATAGGCATTAAGGATGAGTTTCTCTTGCTGATAAGGGCAAAAATAAACAGACAATCTCTTCAAAGCAGGTATAGTTACAGACTTTAAAACCTGAAGACTGAATTCTGTTAATATAATTATAATGGAATCAATATAGAGAAGAGTTCAGATTGAACAACAGTTTCCTAGTGAATATCTCTCTTAGAAATGGTGATGAGAGAATTGATGTTTCTCTCCTTCCAGAAAGGACCTAGCACTAATAGATTTTTTTCCTACAAGCCTAACTTTATTAATGAAGAAGAAGATAGTGATATTTATGAATCTTAAAAATCCAAAATCTTAAAATTTAAGTGATTTATGTTTGACTACTTGAACTCCCATGAATGCATTTGTTAGCTTCTACATTGGCACACCTATCTGAATACTCTCAGTAATGGAAGGCTCCCTACCTCCTAATTCTATTCCTATGTCTAAATCTCTTTACTACTTGAAAAGCTTTCAACTATTTGAGATGGCTATCATGTCATCGTAAATTTTTTTTTCCAGAGTAAACTTTGCCAGTTTACCCAATCAATAATCATGTAGCATAATTTCAAAGTCTGATCATTCTGGTTATCTGCCTTCAGATACACTGATGTTTTTTCACTAGCTTTCCTGAATAGCAGTATCAAGAATACATATAAAGAACCAAGAACAGGGCAGCCCCAGTGGCTCAGCAGTTTACCGCCACCTTCAGCCCAGGGCCTGATCCTGGGGTCCCAGGATCCAGTCCTGCATTGGGCTCCCTGCATGGAGCCTGCTTCTCCCTCTGCCTGTGTCTCTGCCTCTCTCTCTGTGTGTCTCATGAATAAATAAATAAAATCTTAAAAAAAAAAAAAAAACAAGGACAACAGTACCTGGCACTTAGTGCTTTTAGAATCATTATTTTTATTCGCACAACTTAATATTGGCCTAACTTGTTGGTAACTGTATCAGTTATGATGATGTCCCTGAAATAAACATAGTCAACTAAAATTTCCAGGTTTTTCTCATAAGTGCTGATGCCTAGCCAGATTTCCTCTTTCCTCTAATTAAGCAATTGATGAAAACATTCTAATCATCTTTCCATCATCATAAAAAAATTGTCCTTGCTTTCCTCAGGCTAGTGTGTATATAGTGTATACTGAATATATACCTATATCTATATCTATAGATATAGGTATATATTCAGTGGGAAAAAAGGAGTTTGGATTCTGACTCTACCAATGTTTTTATGATTTTGGTAAAATCACTTATCCTCTCTGAACCTCAGTTTTCTCATCTGAAAAGCAAGGTAAGGACATTTGCCTCAAAATAGAAGAGAAATATTAAATGAAAATATAAATTTGAAGCATCTAGCTATATGCCTAATACTTTATAGTTCTCTTGTTATTTCTTGCTCTCTCCAAAAGACGTATTAGGCTGTCCCTCAATTATTAATGTGCAGAGAGGAGTTAGAGATGAGAATGACATTCTGTAAGATGCCTGTGTATTTGTCAATGTAGAGATGTAACAGGCAAAGGCCTTGTCCTCAAGAGGTTTAGAGTCAAATCGGTCCTCTTGAAATTTTTCTAAAATATGAATAGAGGAATTTTAAGTCCTCAGTAGACATCAGAACTAGCCGAATAAAGCTCTGGAAGGCAGGGGCCGAATAAGCAATTAACAGTGGTATTTTTGTTTGCCAGGCTGCTGTAACAAAACACCACAGACTAGGTGGCTTAAACAACAGAAATTTATTTTCTCACAGTTCTGGAGGCTAGAAATACCAGATCAAAATGCTGGCAGGACTGATTTTTCCTGAGGCCTCTTCTTGGCTTATAGATGGGTACTTTGTTGCCGTGTCCTCACATGGCCTCTGCTCTGTGCAAGCCCATCCCTGCTTTCTCTCCCTCTGCTTAGAAGGATATCATTCCTATAGGATGGGGGCCCTACCCTGATGACCTCATTTCATCTTAATAACCTCTTTAAAGGCCCTCTCTCCAAGTATAGTTATATTCGAAGATACTAGGGATTAGGACTTCAACATATGAATTTTGGAGGGACAATTCAGTCCAACACAAGTGATTTCCATGTATTAGAATTACTTTGGGAAATAGTGATTGATGTGTATTATCTGGATGACTTAATGAAAAGACATCTAGTCTTGATCATCTTTATGTTCATAGCTACTTCCCTGGGCTCCACAAAGTGTATGTGAAATCAGTGAGAAAATAAGTGACTAAAGGAGTGAATGAATTGACCAATAAATTAGTAGGTACCATGGTGCAACCCATCACTGTCTCTCTTTCTGCCAGGAATCTTGCCCATTATGGAGGGTTTCAAAACCAATTTCTAGGGATCCCTGGGTGGCGCAGCGGTTTGGCGCCTGCCTTTGGCCCAGGGCGCGATCCTGGAGACCCGGGATCGAATCCCACGTCGGGCTCCCGGTGCATGGAGCCTGCTTCTCCATCTGCCTGTGTCTCTGCCTCTCTCTCCTTCTCTCTCTGTGACTGTCATAAATAAATTAAAAAAAAAATTAAAAAAAAAAACAAAACCAATTTCTAAATTCCAAAGGAGTGTATACATTTATTGTATAAATTTACCTTCAGAAAAGCAGAACTTACCTACGATAAGCAAGCAAACACCCAAAGTAGTTGTACAAAAGTGTGGTACAGATGATTAGTTCCTGAAGGTACTCTACAAAAATGTCCAATACGCTTAGAAAAACGTATGTAATACCTCCCTCTTAGAAATTCACAAGCCACTGTAACAACAACAAAAAAGTGATATGAAGCAATTATTTAGTACAGTAAAGAAATCTGTTTTACTTGGTTTGGCCTTGCATTTCCCAAATGTATTTGGAATCTAAGATAACTGCATTTTCTCCCCTTGTGGGGAAAATGTGCTTTAGACAAGCGTTGGGGAAAATCCTGACTTACAAGCATGATAACCAAAGATGTTAACTAGAGAGACCAAAGCAGGTACCTACCTTGCTCAACGAATGGTATCTTTGGAGAATGTCTTAAATCTTTATCTTAATATCTTAAATCTCTATATATCAGATGTGCTGAAGGACAGAACTAACATCATGGTCAGAGTAGTAGTCAGAAACAACTTAGAGCTCCTCTAAGGGATGTTTCTTAGCTCGGTTTTCCACTGATATTCTCAAAATAACTCTAAATTTTGATACCACCAGTAACTGTTAATTTAATAGCTGAGATATAACCTCAAAGTGGAAAATCATTGAAATGGTATCAGGTTCAAGCCCTTACTCTATATTTGATCTTTGTAGTGGGTTTGATACTGCCTCCCCCTGACCCCTGCCAAAATTTATGTTCATTTAGAACCTCAGAATGTGACTTTGTTTTGAAATGGGTCTTTGCAGATGAAATTAAATGAGTTCATGTTGCATTAGAATGAGTCCTAAATCCAATGGCTAGTATCCTTATAAGAGGAGAGAATGCACACATGTATAAGGAAGGAGGCCACGTGAAGACAAAAGAGAGACCCAGAGAGAGGAGGCCATGTGAAAAGAGAAGCAGAGAATGGAGAGATGCTTCCCCAAACTAAAGAATGCCAGGAGCCACCAGTAGCTAGAAGAGGTAAAGAAGGATTCTCCTCTAGAGCCTTCAAAGGAAACATAGGCCTGCTAATACCTTGGTTATGGACGTCTAGCCTCCACCACTCTGAAAGAATAAATTTCTGTTGTTTTAAGCCGTGTGTGCAGTTTGTGGTATATTGTTATTGCAGCCCTAGGAGACTAATACAATATTTATGCGAGTTTAGATGAATTAGTA